AATACTGGTGCTGGTGAAAATACGAGTAAGAGTTAATAGGCATTAATCAAGATGTGCTAGGCTCTGTTATAAATGCCTACATACCCACACTATGAGGATTCCCGATACAAACCCATTTGTTCTCCTATCACTGTGTCTCTCCTCGTTTACGAAGAAAATAATGCTCACTGAACATATAAAAGGTCCTATGGTTGGTCATCTTCTCATTTCTTTCCCTGTCCCTTCCTATTAGTTTCTTCTGGGGTAAACATATTTTTTTTTCAGCAAAAGATAATACTTAATGTACATGTATATATAAAACTTGGTGAGGTGGGAAAAGTGCACGTGGAAATAATTTCAAAAGTTTGAGATCTATTAATTTCAATGTGATACAATGAAACTAATGGGATTCTCACAGCTGGATTTTAATGGGAACATAATGAGGAAACACTGTAAAATCCTGCACTAAGTCTCTAGCTAGCACCATTTATGATAATGACAGCAAAACCAGATCCAGGAGCTATTCCAAGACAGAGAGATTAGGAAGTAATCACAGGCTCAAGCTCTAATACAATTCTGGAGGGACAGAGAAGGATTTCGAGAATTAACTAGCAAAACAGGATTAAAATAAAGAGGAAGAAATTTTTGACCTCCACATTCATTGGTCAGTATCAGTGAAATTCTACATTCACCTATATATAGCACCACCATTTTTTTTATATTGTAAGTGTCTCTTAATAAAGTTTCCTCCTCTAGATTACAAACAACTTGAAGTCAGGAACTGCCCATTTCACTTTACTGACTCTAGCATCTAGCATACTTGGTATAGGCAATAACAGAGTTTACTAGTTCAACATTGGGAGCTCTCTGGAGTTAGCTTTCATAAAAATCATTGCCCTGTCACTTACTAGTATTGTTTTGTCGAATTACTTGTTGGTGCCCAGACTCAGTTTCATCATCCACAAAATGGGCTTATCATATCTACTCTATCAATTGCAGTCCATAAAAGCTTTAGCACAAGCAACAAATTTAGCTTAATGAATTACACATAGGATTTAACAAGTGGCAAATATCATAAAGTCTCAATAAATTACTGTATAGATGAATGCCTTATTGAATTGTAATTGCCAGAAGGAATAAGTAAAAGGAAAAGATTTAGCCTTGGCCTTAACAAGCTCCCAGTTCTCACAGTGCTTGCTGCCATAGAAAGAGCACTGGTCAGCTTTGACAGTTTCCCCTGGACATCTAGGCATGACTGACCTCAGAGGTGATTGAGTTGAAACCAGAACCTTTCATAGGCACTGTCCTATGGATGCCGACTGAATTCTTTGCCCTTTCAATTTCTTGTGAAATCACCTCTGGTTCTAATTCTAAAGGGCACAAGCAAATCTCTGACTTCAGCATATTTTTTTAAATGTGCATTTAAACTAAATTTACTCACACAGTTCCCTCACCTGGGCAAACACAAAAAGGAAAGAAAGGAGGAAAGGTTAAGGAGGGAATCTTCAGGAAATGCCTCCTGGAAGCTCTGAGTGAACAATATACCGTGCTAATGCTGCTAGTGAGATGACTACCCTGCAAGGTTTCTCACCTGTAAAATGGAAAGAAGAATAGCAGCTAAACTCAGAGGATTGCTGAGAAGATCTTGTAACAGAGTGACCATGAAGGCCAAAATGAGTGCTAACGACCAAGCGTGATTACATGTGGGGTGAGAGTTTGCACTCACTCACTTGTTCTCCACCACTGCAGTTGCAGTAACAAGTGTTTGAGACACCATCCAGGTTAGGAATAAGATGGCCTGTGGCCAGAGAAGAAAGCCAGGAAAAGCTCCCAACTGGGAGAAAAGATTATAGGCAATATTACTGAATTATTTGTAAGCCACTATGGACAGGTAATTAATGATTTTAAGTAAACTACGCAAGTAAAATGTACAATGTTGAGCAATTTTCAACAACAACATTACTCTGTGTGGGGCAACATATTAAATTTATAATTCTGGACTGTTTAAGGGACATTTAAACAATTAACAAAAGTTGCACTAATTGAATACTAAGTTCAGTGCATTGAAATTGCAAATGTGGCTTTAGAGGAATTGGCTGGAGTACATGAATGAAGGCACACACACATCAATGAGCACAGTATGGGAACTGAAGTGGTGGACAATGATCTCTTGTATGGAGCAAGATGACACTTGGAGGAAAAAACAACCAAACTGTTCATCCACTTATCTCAAGCACTGATCCAGGTGGGCCAGAGAGGGCCAGAATTGGCAAAGCCCTTAACTCAAAATATGTAAAATAAGAAGCAAAAATTAAAATCACATAACAACTTGAGGATCCTTCTTACTAGATCTAAACAATGGTTTTCAGGCATTCATAAAAAAAAAAAAAATCACAGAAATAAGGCCTCAGGGTACTCCACTGAGAAACTGCTCCTAGTACCCAAAAGAGTGCACTCACAGCTGGATGAGCTTGGAGACCTCAGAAGAAGACACCACAGAGACCAAGAGAGTCTGAAGCATAATTTAGGAGGGCCCAAGGGGGAGATGAACAAAGAGAAACTTCTGCCTCCTACACAACAGGGGCTTCCAGAGTTTCTTGGCCAGAGAAACCACAGCTCACAGTTGCTAAGAGGCCTTTCCCCCAGGTTTCCTCTCCTATCCTCTGTGAAGAGTACTGCCTAAGGTCAAGTGCATTAAGTGACAGAATGAGTCTGAATCTATATATAGATAATCACTCTCTGAAACAGTTAAAAATTGCTAACATATTACTACTGCCTGTATTACTTATCCCAAACAAGAAAACCACTGTGTTAGGTCTAAAGGTGAGCAGCTGGCCATGTGCTTCTGAATATAAAAATGAAAAAGGGACAGGCTAAATAATGCCTCCTCCAAGATGTCAGAACCCCTGGAACCTGTGAACATTTTACCTTACATTAAAAAAGGTCTCCACAGAAGTGATTTAGAAAGGATCTTGGGATGGAGAGATTATCCTGAATGATCTTGCTGGGCTTCATGTAATCACAAGACTCCTTGTAAAAAAGAGGCAAAAATTTAAAAAAAAACAAAAAAAGGTGATAAGATCCCAAGAGGGAAATGGAAGGGTAACAATGCGATGTGATGTGTGGCCATGGGTCAAGGATGAGGACAGCCTCTAGAGCCGGAGGAGGCAAGGAAGCAGGCCTCCCCCAGAGCTTCCCCCAGCTCTGCTGACACCTTCCCTTTAGGCCAGTTGGACTGACTTTGGTTTTCTTCCTCTACAACTATAAGATAATAAATCTATGTTGTTTTAAGCCACTGAGTTTGTAGTGATTTGTCATAGCAGCAACAGGAAACCAATACATATTTTGGTATCTGGAAGTAAGGTACGACTTGTTACAAATACTTAAAAAACATGAACGTGGTCTTGGAACCAGTTAATGGACAGAGCATTTTGAGCACTATGATATAAAAGGTTAGTTTGTACTGAACATACTGTTGTAGAAATGAATGGTAAAGACTCTGACCAGGTAAGGAGGAAGGGAGAAGCAGGGTAGAGAAAACTTACATGTCTGAGAAAGACAGATATAACTCATCATAAAAAACTGACAGGGAAATGCAGAGGTCAAAGCCGTGCTCGTGATGGCTGTGAAGGAAATGAGGTCTCTGTTAACGCACACTGGAGGAAAGAGGGCCCTTGTTACAGGGAGTAGCATTGTTAGAAGAGAAGATATATGAGAAGTTTCCAAAAGAGTTGAAGACAGAAACCCAACACAATGAACCCCCAAGCAGGATAACAGAAAATCAGACACAGTTCAAACGGCTCAAAACAAGAGTCAAAAAAGAAAGGCAAGAAAATCACATGTCCAACAGAATTGAAGGGAGGGGGGATTTGACCATGTAGACCCCTATACTCATAAAAATACTCCTAAAAAAATGGAGGTGAAACAAAATCATTTCTAGTCGTTTCCAGACTAACAAAAGCTGCTAAGGGAAATGATCACAGAAAATAAACAAGATCTACAGAAAGTAAACGACAAGGGAAATGTGAAACAATATAGTTTTAATTTCTTCAAAAGAAAACTGACTATTTGAAACAAATATAACAATGCATTATGGGATTATGAGTTGTGGGAAAATAAAGTATGACAATAATATAAAAAAGAGGTAAATAAAATTACATTATAAGAAGGTTGTTAAATATTTCATCAGGTTGTGTAATATTTATCTAAGGTAAAGTGTGACAAATTAATTATGCATACTATAATCTAGAGTAACCACTTAAAAATCATTCGAAGTGGCAAAACTAAATAGCAAGAAAGGAAATAAAACAGAAGATGAAAACAAAAAAAATAAAGCTCAATTTCCAAACATAGAAGTAAACAAATAAAGAATGGGGAAATTGAGAAAGAAATAAAAAGATGATAGAATTAATCCCAATTATATAAACAATTAGAGTAAATCTAAGTGTATTTAGCATTCTAATTACAAGATAAGAAACTTTAAACTTGGGTTTAAAAAAATGGACCCAATTCTATGCTGCTAATAAGAAACACACTTTTTATTTACATTTCAATTAGAAGATAGAGACTTTAAATCTGGGTTTAAAAATTGGACCCAATTCTATGCTATTCATAAGAAACATAATTTTAATATAAAGACAAAGGATGAAAGTTATATGAAAAAAAAGATGTCATTTTAAACACTAATCATAAGCCACTGTGTCTACTTTAGTCTCAGGAAAGGTAAACTTTAAGAGAAAAATATCATCATTGATAAAGATGGGTACTTCACAATGACAAAATGGTCAGGAACAAAGCCCAAAATTGTTTTTCTCTGTTTAGACTAATAAGATTGATAAATCTCTCTTTTCCTGCATATAATTTCGGAAGGTTTATGAACCTCATGAGTATTTATGGACTCTATTTAACCTATTTTTAAATTCACATTATTTTAAAGTTCAGCAGTTTTCAAGTAGCAGATCCTCTCAATCCTTGACAACCATTTTTATTATCATTGACTTAATTCCTGCAAGTCATCTCACCTGGAACTTCACCTTCTGATTAATGTCCGAGATGCGGAACTGCTTCAGGAAGCGCTCGTCCTCACTCCAGAAGAGGCGGATATCAGGGATGTCATAGAGGATCATGGCCAGTCTTTCTAACCCCAGGCCAAAAGCCCAGCCCATTCGATCTTGAGCACCAGCTATAATTAGGAAAGAAAATAAAAGGGCTGTTCAGGGAAGGATGAAGATTGGGCAGGTAAACACTCCTCCCCATAATTACCAGGAACCCTGCCTGAGGCCTATAGGCAGCAGTGCCCTGCAGAGCCGAGGTGGAAGGCACCCCATCTTACTTCCTGTCTGTCCTTATGATCCTTACTGTCCTCATGAAAGCACTATGGAGCCACATTGACAATAATATTTTCATTCATTTCTGAAGAAAGTTCAGGCTCTTTGAAACCCGCATTCTCACCTATGAATTATGCTTCTTCTGTAGTCTTTATCTGCACTGATTTAAACATGTAGCCTTCTAGGTGTCAGTTACACAAGAGAAGGAAAAGGTAGGCTCCTCCCGAACTGGCTACAGATAGGGCCATGTGTGCAAAACAGGCCACACTGGACTGTGAACATTCAGAAAGGGTGTGTCAGGCCATCAAAATCTTCAACTTTATTAAAAACACCATGTTTCCTGGTAGTAAGAGCTCCTCCAACCATGTGCAGAGGGCAAGGAAGCCATGGTGAAATGCCTATCTAGTGCCAATTACCCCAAATGGTAGCAAGCGGGTCAGATTCTGTCAGTACCGTGAATTCTAACAGTGTATTTCACATGTATGAATCAGAGTATAAGACAAAAGACAGGGCGGTGGAGTGTAAGAAAGGTGACAGGAGCAGTTCATACTTCTAAAAGACCTTGGAAAATGAGCTCATGAAATGAAAAAATTCCAAACAGACATAAAGCAGGCTCCTGAGGCAGACTGAAGTGGCTCCCGAGATTCCTACCTCTCATGCACAGCCCCGTGGAAACCTCTTCCTTTGATTGTAACCGACCCATGAGAAGGACAGGGTCCCACCCCAGTCATTAGTTTGTCTTGTGTGACTTGTATGACTCTCTCCACCTTGGCAGATTGGAGAGAGGTTTCCCCTGCTGGCTATGAGGAGCTGAGTGGCCAGGCTCTGAGGAAACATGTGCCCAGGACCTCGGGGGGTCCCTAAGGAGCTGAGAGGCACACCAAAGCCAGTGAGACACATGGGAACCGCACTCCCATAATCATGAAGAACACATGCTCCTCAGTCTGCTAGGCTGAAAGACCCAAAGCTTGAGAATATAGCCCTAACATTCTGATTTCAACCTGGGGAGACCACACACTGGGGGACAACACCAGTCCACATCCAGAGTCCTGAAGCAAGGAAATGGATAGTACATTTGTGTTGTTATAAGCCATTTATGAGATAATTTGTTCTTGAGGGAGTGAATAAAAAACAAATCAGATAGGAAACGTGGAGAAAGGTGACAGAAAATGGCAGAGTTCCAACAGTAAAGGGACAGGTGCAGCCCAGGAAGGCTGGGGGGTGCAGAGACAGCGAGGGCAAGGCTGGGCAGCTGACACTCTGAGGAGGGGACAGAGAGGAGCTGATGTGCTCTGGTTATTGCTGCCACCACCATCATTCACAGATGACAAGGATAAGAGAAATCAGAAAGAAATGTGAGCCTCTAAACAGAGGATTTGTTTCAAGGATCAATGAATAAAAAGTATTCAAAATGCCACAAGAAACTGATACAGAGAGAGTAGGGCCTCAGTCAGAGGGAGAGTGTGTATGAAGAAAACTGCGTGGCTGGCTACCTGTGTTCCCAGGACAAACGGTCATTCAGAAGGGGGACAGGGAAGGGGCTGTTTAACCAGAAGAATGCTGCAGCCAGAGTTCCTGACCAAGTGACCCCTGCCTAGAAAGGAGCTGATGGTGGAGGGAAAATAGAGTAATTCATAGTGATGCCTAAAAACCTTAGAGAGGCAGATGACCAACTGAAGATACGAAAATTAACACAACACCAACATTTTATACCACTTGAAGGATTTTTTCGAGAAATGATATTCCTGAACCTGGTGAGGGACTTGGTTCCAGTATTCTCACTTGTTTCTGGTTATGCACTCTATTCTTTATAACCATTTAGAGAACAATGTAGCAACAGACCAAAGATCCACAAAAATGCTCACATACTTTATTCTAAGATTTTAGGGGGAGATTTATCCCAAGGAATTAACAAAAGCAGAAAGATAAATAAAGATATTTGGAGCAGTATTACTTAGAAGAATGAAAACAATCTAAGTGTCCAAAATTAGAAAACTGTTTAAATATTATAGTACATTAAAATATTGTTATATTAAAATACATAAAATAACTATATAGATGTTTATTAAATCACAGAGTATAAGGGAATATGAACACTTCTATGATAAAATAAACATTTACTATGATATTACTACTTAATACAGGTACAAATGAAAGTCATAAGATGAAAATTAAAAAATGTGATACTCATGGGTCACTATGAGTAGTAGTCCAAAAACAACCGCTTATTTTTAAAATTCACAAATAAAAACTATTATGAGATATTTATTTGTGATGTAGAACATGATGTTTTGATATAAGTATATACTGTGGAATTACTAAAATGAATCAACAATCATTGATTGCTTCATAAACTTTTTTTGTGATGAAAACATTTAAAATCTAGTCTTGGCAATTTTCAAGTAGACAATACATAGTTATTAGCTAGAATTATCATGTTGTACAATAGATCTCAAGTTTATTCCTTTTTCCTAACTGAAATTTTTTATCCGTCGACCAACAATTTCTAAAACATTTTCTGTACTAGTTAAGTCTTTTCAAGTAAAAAATAAACAACAACGACAACGACAACAACAACAAAAAGAGGAGGGAGTATTTATTGAAGCGTGCTTTATTAAATCATTTACACTTCATCTTCAAATGTTAGACAAAACCAACCATCTAGAGACCACTATCTATAGCTTAATGAGCAGCAGATCTAGGGGATTTAGTTTTATTTCATATCCAGTAATTTGTTATCTGCTCTTTTCATGCAGCACCCTCATTTCTTTCCCCATTCCTCAAAACAAAAATAAAACTAGTGGAGATCTGTTAAAAGTAGGTTAAAAAAAAAGAACAATAAATTTAAAAATGGGAAAAGAATATGAAGATATTCACAGGCAAGGAAAGGAAAAAATGATTCTTAAACAAATGAATACTTCACTTAAAATAAATGCAAGATAAAATTGAATCAAGTTATCAGTTTTTACTTACTGATTTTTTGCCCCCAGGGGCACATTGCTGGTAGGATACATGTGGGTTTTAAATTTTTTGACCCAAGGAATATAACATAGCACTAGTTATCAAAATTCAAAATGTATACTATCACCTATTACTTGAACTTCTAGAACATATACTATTCATGAAAAATTGTGAATTTACAATGTGATTTATTGAAATACTGTTTATAATAGCAAAAGAGTGCACACAACCCAAATGTTTATTCATAGGAAATTGGTTAAATGAATAATGGAATGTTATTGTAACACCTTCTGAAGGATTTCAAATACTAAAAGCAGCATCTGTTTTTTATTTGGGGATGGGTGGGAGAGAACAGGGCACATGAAGACAAAAGGTGAAAGGCTTTACAATATGTGGCTTTATATATAAAAAGTGATGAGAAATTTTTCAGGAATAGGTTTATTTTTCCTTATCAGAAATTCTCTGGAACAAAAAGTATTTTGAATTTTGGAGTGTTCTGGACTTCTGATTAGGGATTCTAAACCTGTAATAGAAATCTTAATGACTAGATAAAATGTGGTGATTTCTTTTCTGTTTATTCTTTTTCCTAACAGGTTTTAAAACAACAAATAATCCCTTTCATTGGTGTCAGGCTTCCAGGAAAGACTATGATTAATAAAAATGGATTCTGATGTTCCACTTATAGCCTGTTTTGGTATTTCTCCCTACAGAGGAGCCAATACATTCTAAGCATGGAAAATTAATGCTGCTATTTACGGGGATTTCCAAAAACTCAAGCAAATTCCCCAATACCCCTCATCTTCAATCCTAGTGGGCTGAGATACTTCAATCAAGAGATAAGGGGGAAGAGATGAGATGTGACTTCTGAGATTACACGAGAAAAGTCATGCAATTACCTCCTGCTTTTTTTTTTTTTTTTTTTTTTAATGATCGTGCTGTGACATTTCCTCTCAGTCAGGATTTCTCCCTCCAAAGATTCTCTTGGAACTCCACCACTAGTCTCTGAGAAAGCTCAGCAACATGAAGAGGACTTTTGTGGGAGCTCACAAGGGGGAACCTAGCCTTCAGATTGCCTCAGCACCATTAGCAGACACACATGTAAGAGAAGACTTAGGAGGATTCCAGCCCCAGTTGGGAACCACCCCGATTGTGTACATCTCCCCAGATGAGGCTCTGGGCACTGTGGAGGAGACACATGCCATCGCTATTGTGTGCTGTCCGAATTCATGACCAAGGAATAACTTCCCATTATGGTAAAGCTAAAACTACACTGTAGCCACAGGTTCGACTTTTCTTGGTCTGAAAATATTGCAAATAAAAAATTAGGCAAGGTTTCAAACAGGAGAGAGATCAGGAGTTTCAAGCTTAAAATAAGATGAATACACCATATTATACCACCTCATTTGTGTCATAACATCCTTTCGTCTCTCCAGAGGCCAGGTCGCCCACTATTATTCACAACATCGCTCATCCTAGAAATCAAACCATCTTAAGTCAAGGCTACCCAATCCCCTGTCACCACATGAACCACTGCCCTTCATTTTATTTCTCCAGCTTGGTGAATGGATCATCACCCACCTAGTCACCCAAGGCAGCAGGCTGGGAGTGAAGTTTTACTTCACATACCACCTCATAGCAGGCGCAGACCTTTAAATGATATCTCAGAAGTCTCTCCAAGGCCTCCCTTAATTTGAGTCCTACTGTCACTGTGGACGTGTCTTTAACAAAAGTCTTTCACTCCATCCAAGGAGTTCACCCTGTCTCCTCATCCAGCCCATCTCTGAGAGTGCCACCAATTTGCTCCCTAAAGCACGAATCTCCACACTGCTTCAAGCAGATGTGTGTGGACTGTGGGTCAGAGAATGCTCTCTCAGCAAGCCACATTTAGCATTTT